AATAGTTTTAAACCAGAGAACTTACCATCTGACATGCCTTCCCTACGATGAGGCAAGGATGGCTGTTTTTTGGTAGGGTTAGGCCTAGGCCTTTGACTCTGATTCTGGATTATACTAGTATTGCTATCAGTAGAAAATGGGCTGGTTGGGCGAAGTTTCTGAGAAGTGGAATGTGGTTTGCCTAAAATAAAAAAATAAAAACATTCTTAAAATATTTTCATTTAAAATATTGTTTTATAGGAGGCACTACAAGAAAGGTAATAAAGGCAGCAGCATTTTATTTTCTGATAAACTTTCAAACTTTTGCACGGCATCTGGCTAACTGGGTGATGAACCATAAATATTAATAATGCCAATAGCATACTTGCCTACAATATTTAAATTACTCAAAGAATTAATAGAGGAAAACAAGCACAATTATGTGGAAGAAAACATTATTCCAATAGAACAGAAAGGAAATAATAGGAAAAAAAACCAGAAGTACAAAATATCAACTTCTGATTGATAAAATGGTTTGGAAACTGCAACAGCTCAAAAACCAATTTACTATTGTCTGGGTTGATTATAAAAAGCTATTTGACTCATTACCACAAAGTTGGATCATCAAAAGTTTGGAAAAAATTGGTATCAGTAAAAACTTTAGAATGTTTAATAGAAAAAATAATGAAACAGTGAAAGATAGATTTGATTGTTGGAAATGAAAAATATGGACTTGTCAACATTAGGAGAGGCATCTTCTTCCAGGGTGACTCATTATTATTCTTCTTATTTGTCATTGCAATGATCCCATTTTCACTGATTTTGAAGAAAAAAATCTAGGCTATCAAACAACAGCAAATGCTAATAAAATTTCACATTTACTTTATATGGATGATCTGAAGCTTTATGGAAAATCAGAAATTGAAATCCAGTCCTTGACACATAAGATAAGAATTTTTAGCACAGATGGAATTAGCCTAGAAAAATGTGCTATAGTAGCAAGGAAGTTCCAGAAAAGCTAGGGAGTTCCAGAAAAACATTTACTTCTACTTCATTGACTATGCTAAAGCCTTTGATTGTGTGGATCACAACAAATTGTGGCAAGTTCTTAAGGAGATGGGAGTACCAGACCATCTTATTTGTCTCTTGAGAAACCTATATGCGGGTCAAGAAGCAACAGTGAGAACTGGACATGGAACCACTGATTGGTTCAAAATTGGGAAAGGAGTCCAGCAAGGCTGTATACTGTCACCCTGCCTATTTAACTTATATGCAGAGCACATCATGAGAAAGGCAGGGCTAGATGAATCAAAAGTTGGAATTAAGATTGCCGGGAGAAATATCAACAACCTAAGATATGCAGATGATACCACTCTAATGGCAGAAAGTGAAGTGGAACTAAAGAGCCTCTTGATGTGGGTGAAGAAGGAGAGTGCAAAAGTTGGCTTGAAACTCAACATTAAGAAAACCAAAACCATGGCATCCGGCCCTCTCAATTCCTGGCAAATAGATGGGGAAGAAATGGAGGTAGTGACAGATTTTATTTTCCTGGGCTCCAAGATCACCTCAGATGGGGACTGCAGCCAAGAAATTAAAAGACGCTTGCTCCTGGGGAGGAAAGCTATGGCAAATCTAGACAGCATACTAAAAAGCAGAGACATCACCCTGCCAACA